TTTCTTGAGGTTTCTTCTGATCTTTTACCTGGGACATGTTTCTTTGTTTCTTCATTCTGGTTGTCACTCTGATTGTTTCAATGTAGTAGATTACCTAGAAAGAAAAAAAAGAAAAGAAAAAGAAAAAAGAGGAGGGGCTCTCCGCCCACTTTAATCTGCAGACCACTTGCTCAGCAATAGAGAGATTCTGGGCGACTCATCACCAGCTGTTGGGGGGAAGGGCTCAGTGTGTCATGCACCGACCTCCCTCTAGACTTGAAGTGAGCTTCCTACAATTAGTTGCTGTGTGCTCTGGAACTGTGCTCACCACCAAAAATCCTCACAGGTTGTTGCAGGCTGTCTGCTGCTGCAAAAAAGCCTCTGTGGCCTGTGGAGGTGGGGGGCAGGGACGAGGGGCTCAGGGTGCCCCTGGCAACACAGCTCTAGGTGGGTGGGGCAGGCCCCCAAGGCACCACAGGATGTAGTTAGTGTCCCCCAGCAAGTCAGAGCAGCATGCACTTCTGCATTGGCAACCAGCCCACACAAACTTTCCAGGAAAGCCCCAGCTGAATCACGCAGGCACACAGCTCACAGCCCTACACTCCCATGAAAACTCCCAGTCTCAGCCTGTCCCAATCAGCTGCTCGCAGATCAGGCCAAGCAGCCCAATAGCCGATCGCCACCCAGGCAACTCTGTACATGCAGTGCGGAAATCGGGGACCTAAGGCAAGTCACGCACTCCTGGGTCTCAATAAGCAGTCTGTTGGAGTCGGAGCACACCTGCCAGGCGTTTCCCTGGCTACGCAGCACAAGCAGTGTGGAGGGTGAGGATCCAAGGCCGCATGCGCACACACGCACATGCATGCACCCACACACACTCACTCCTGCGCCAATTCCAGCAGACCAATGCAGTCCCAGACCTGAGCCTCTGTGGGAGGGCCCAGCCCTGAACAAATGGCAGCCTCCTGTGCACTACTCGTGTGCAAGCTCCACACCAGGGGAACAATGGTCTCAAAACCCTCCAGCTCCTG